CCTTTCCTTTATCCTCATGTCTGATCCATCCACACGTCATGTTTCTGCCTAGCATTCATCGTTTTCATTCGGGACCTGGTTGCATCGTTCCTCATGTAGGCTGTTGTAGCTACCACTGCTCGCATTTCAGAAGCCCTCTAACATCCTAGCTACAGAGCAATCAGAATGTTCCTTTGAGCTGGGAGCACTGCTGCACCTATAATACCAGCAAGCTGATGCAAGAGGACCACAGTAAATTTCAGGCCTGCCTGAGCCACATAGTGAGTTCCAGGTCAACCTTAACTAATAATTAGATCTGTGTCTCAAAAAAATAAAATAAAAAAGATCTTTTGAAAATAGATTTTTATTCCTTTGCTTTAAATTGCATATCTCACTACCAAATATATTTAGAATAAAACCCGATCTCCTCACCGAGTCTCCAAGCACCAGTGTGCCGTTTAGTAACACTTCTCTGCTTTAGTCGCTGTCTTTGCTCACTGTGTTGACCCTTGCTGTCCTTCTTTCAGAGTCTTGGGACAGTTTATTTCTTCCACCTGGAAGATTCCCCTGCGACCCTGTTTTCTTATGCTGTTTCCTACAAATTTCATTTAAACATCATCTGCTGAGGGAGCCCTTCTCCAGCCTGGTCTCCAGCTGCTCTCCTGCATTGTTTTACTCTGCTGACAGCCTCTGGTAATTAATATCTTTTTGTTTGTTTTTCTGTATGTCTTTATTACACGAGATAAGGGCTTACAACTTTCTGTTCCATACTTTTTATCCAGTGCCTGTCACAGTGGATCAAACTTAGGAGACTCCTAACCAACTGTGTTGCATAAATAAATGGCAAAAGGGGAAGAGGACGTGCAAAAGGAAAGGGTCACAAAGGGAATCAAGAAGCAGAATTTTTCAAACAATGTTGTTTTGGACAAACTACTACTAGAGAACCGATCTTTAATGAAAATATTATTGTGTGCTTACTAAGTACAAGGCTATCCATCCAGAGGCCAAGGTCAACACAGCACTGCCTCAGCCTCACAGGATTTTATAGTATTGTTTAGGTATGGAAATGAAATCTTCGCTAGCAGCATGATATGACAATATGTGAGCTGTCAAAGTACAGTATATAATTATCAAAGTGCATGGTTTGAATGGTGAATATTTGTAGAAATCACAGGAATAAAATCCCTCTGAGTTAACAGCAGGCTTGGCTTGCTTGGGAGGAAAGGGACAAGGAATATGTTTTCTTAGTATATTTGCCCTCTTCTGTTCCACATTCCCCGGACAGTAGCAGATCTGCAAAACTTACCTTTCTTAGTTTTTGCAGTGGACCCTAAAAAGCATTTTCTCTCGTGCATTCAGCAACTGCTGACCTTTATAAAGGACTTAACCTAAACACAGTTCTGAGCCAGAGGAAAGGTACACAGTGGAGCTCAAAACCAGTAAGTGGGTGGGCCACAGGCTGCATGGTCAGAGCTGGGGCACATATATTGCTTTAGACATTTTGTTCTTTAATGTTGGAATATGAACCAAGACTAATTTTAAAGTGAATGAATATTTTTATCATCTGATTTGATACTATATTTCTTAAAAAGGAATAAACTATTGGTAAAAATCTTAGGTTTGAGCCATCAAGAGAGACTGGACTACCATAGTATATATTAAGTTCCTGCTAGAAAAAATTCAACATAAATTAAGCTTCCAGAAAATGATTACAGGCACAGTTAGATGTCTAAGGAGGGAAAGTTCTCATAGCCCTTGTAAAACTTGAAGCAGACTCTCTATTAACTCTCTCACGGATTCTTTTTAAAAATTTTATTTGCTTTTCTCAGTGCACATTTGCAGTACATAATGATTACACTTGCTTAGGGGACTGGTACATGTAAACAATACATTTCATTTCCTCCTTTGCCCCTCTCCCTTCACCAACCATTTATTTTTTCAGCATCAGATTCATTTATTTATCTTATAGGACCCTATAAAATTAATTGATTGAAAACCAGACTAATAGACCAATGAACATCTAAAACATGTACTAAGGTATACTTTGGTGTTTTATTTTTGTATTTGTTTTTGTTTTTTTTGAGAAAGGGTCTTACTGTGTGGTTCAAGCTGACCTTAAACTCACTATGAAGCCCAGGTTGGCCTCAAACTTGCAGCAAACCTCTTGCCTCAGCTTCCTAAATGCTGGGATTACTGAAGTGTGCCACCTTGCTTGGCTCAAGGTATTCTTTTAACTACATTGTCCACACTGGATTACAATACCTTTTTTCTGTTTTTTCCTATTATCGTTTTTTTTTTGTTTT